GAAATAGTAAGCCAGCGTTGTTTTCGGTACTCGCTTTGGTTTCGCCTAAATTTGGATTCGTGTCGGAAAGTCCCATATTGGTAGTAAAATACTCCCTAATAAAGACGACTTTATACCCAAACATCAAACCCGAGACGTTTGGTTAAAAATGAACCACTCTGCCATAACTCTTGTTGGTCGTTAAAACTATTTTATATTCCTAAGGGCGGTCCTTCCTTAAAGCGGGTAAAACAACTGTTTTAGGCCCCATATTTGTAGGGGCTTTATTTTTGGTTACACATAATAGGTTGTATATAAGTTTAAAAAAAGGTTTTGTAAAGTGAAATTTTTTGATTTCCTTCTTTAACAAATACAGAGAAGAAGGATTTGCAGCTGTTATGATTTCTGTCAATGAAATTGCCTTAGAAATGAATATCGAACACGAATTTCGTAAGAAACGTGTGATATGTAGGAAGAAACACTTTGATTAGAATGTTGATAATGAAATCTCAATATCTCTCGAAGAGTCCTTTAGAGTTGATTACTTTTTATACATAGTAGACAAAGCTATTTTTCACTTCAAAATGGATTTTGAACAATTCGAAGCACATGAAAATATTTTTGATTTTCTGTTTAGCAGTAAAAAACCGAGATCACTCTATGATGAAAATTTAAAAAATATTACCTTAATCTTGAATGTTCCTTAAAGCATAATAATCAATCTGATATTGATGGCTTAGATTTATTTTCTGAATTGAAGTGTTAAGATAAATAGTGCAATTAGAAGATAATAGATTAATTGATATACTCAATTAAATAAAAAAATTAATTTTTTTTCAAATGTCTATATTGTTTATAGAATAATGTTAATAAGTACTCATGTTTACCGTTGCTTCAGCGGATAGATTTTTTTAAAATTAAAATTGATAAAATTTTATCTAAAATCAACAATGTCTCAAAAAGGGTTAAATGGATTAACTATATTGTCAATTGAGAAAGACTTATTAGAAGAAATTGATTATATGAAAATTATGAATAACTTTGCATATAAAAAAGATAAAAAAAAATAGATTTTAAATTAAAAAATAATAAATATTTTTAAAAAAAGTTAAAGCCCCATTTAAAGTTTAATTTTAGGCCACAAAATTCATCGGCCGCCCCCGTATATTCCTCAATAAATATATTCTAGCTAGTAAGATTTCCCCTCTATCTAATTTTGCTAATCTGAGAGTAAGATTATATAAAATGTCAGAATTTGATTCATCTACATATCTATTTCTGTTTCTTGTTCTGAAGTATTTTTAATGTTAAGTAAATGGTCTGCGGTGGACCACATACAATTCAATGTTCTTTGTTTTGACCATTATCATCGGTGGCGGATCCAAAATTTTGTACAAGCGGGTTCATTAAATACGGCATCAATAATAAGAACGATAACAGATATAACAAGCGAGATTTGCTCCACTATATTTTTTCTTTTTTATTCACTACAACAAATGAAGTCATCATTTTTAAGTTGACGTTTTTAGCTTTACCAGTTGAGCAAGTTTTTTTTAATAAATGTACTATAAATTCTATTTAAAATTTAATTTTAGAATAAATTATCTACTTACTTGAACAAATTTCAAGATTTGCTATGTGGAGTTGATCACTACACCATCCTGAGTCTTTGAACCCGCTTGACCACCGCGCCACAAAAGTGTGTTGTGCCAAGTGGATTCATTATTATTTAAATAACCGTATTGTTCCTGTATTAGATTTATAAATGTATGTATACATAATATTTTTTTTTTGAAGAAGTTGGTTCATTTGAACCCTTTTGATATACGTGGGTCCGCCCCTTATTACAACCTTTGCAATTCTTTCCTTTTTATACATTCTTCAGTAGACTAATTGCAATGCATAACCGAATATAGCATACTTTATATTAGTAGTATAGAGGCCATAGCCATTATTGAGAATACGGGGCTAAACTTTCTGCCTATAACTGCTACTTAACTATTTTTGTTTTTAAGTGTCTGGCATCAGTAATTTGATTAGGTAAAACGTTTAACTAAAAAGAAAGAAAAACTCTTGACCCATACATATCGGAAGTGAATTTAAAAGTTGTGGTTTTAAATATGACTCCATATTCCGAAGATGAAAGTAGCAGAAATGAAGATGTTAAGATGGATGTGCCAGCATACTAGGATGGATAAGATCTGGAATGATGATATTCGGGAGAAGGTGCGCGTGACTCCCATTGGTGACAAGATAAGGGAAGCGAGGCTCAGATAGTTCGGGCATGTACAGAGGAAGAACCCAGATGCCCCGGTAAGGAGGTATGAGCGGCTGGTTATGGAGGGCACGAGAAGAGGTAGAGGGCGGCCGAAGAAGTATTGGGGAGAGGTGATCAGGCAGGACATGGCGAGACTTCAGATTTCCAAGGGCATGACACTTGATAGGAAGATGTGGAGGTCGAGTATTAGGGTTGTAGGTTAGGAGGTAATTAAGTCTTGCCTTACTTCGTACCGTTGTGAGACTGAGCTGAGGGTCTTTCGGAAACAGTCTCTCTACCTCTTCGGGGTAGGGGTAAGGTCTGCATACACACTACCCTTCCCAGACCCCACTAGAGGAATTTCACTGGGTTGTTATTGTTGTTGTTGTATTTCTATGATTATAAAAGTATATCTTTAGTTAAGGATATGGTGGAAAGTTTGAAGTTAAGCATTCTAATTAGGAAAGACAAAGTCATTTACTATCATATGTACTCTCACCGTCTTATGACAAGAATAAATTTAAAAATTGTGAGTAAAAGAGAAGTTGAAAATAGAGAATAGTGCTAAGTACCTTTTTTAATTTTAAAAATATATGTAATAAAAATGAATCGCATTTAACTTTGAATTAACATAATAATGGCGAACGAAGTAAAGAATAATGAAAGAAAATCATTTCTGTTGAATTAAAGGTAATTTAGAAACATTTTAGGAAGTAACATTCACTATGACTTTCTTTTATCCTCCCCAATATCCTATATCCTATATATGATACAAACTTAGCACCAAACTAGCTCCTAATTTTTTTTTAATTTTATGTATTCATAATTTTAATCTAATCCTTTAATTATGTGAATCTAATTCAATGAGTTACTCGCACTAGTTTTGTCAAAGTCTCGATAGACAAGAGTATCTAACTCGAAAAATTACAATACGTAATTGCAAATTGGCTAAAATATAAAGTGAATATATTGAGGCCATAAGCTTTACTGACTAACATTTTAAAATATATTACATGATTAGGTTGTTTTAAATCTAAATCCACTAAGCATATGTTTGAAACTTGAAAGAGATTGTAATAATATATTGAAATTAATCAAAAAAAGTTTAACGTGCAAATGCCTTTTTAGTCATATACATGTATGTGGGACTATAATCTTGAAGATAAGATGGTTACATACTATCATATCACTTAAAAGATATTTATAGGTAAGCCTTCTTTACAATACATAAAGGCAATTTGATGGTATAAAAATATCTTATGTGGCAAAAAAAGGACAGCCCAATACACAACATTTCACATTTATGTATGGTCCGGGGAAGAGCTATACCTCTAGGAATGTGGTGTAGAGAACTTACCCTAATGTAAATATGTAAATATTAGTGTCTACTTTCACGACTCGAACTCGTGACTTGTAAATCACACAGAGACAATTTTACAGTTGCTGCAAGACTCCCTTTCGTAAAAATATCTTGTACTGAAATGTATATAACTTAAAACTCCTAATCCATTAACTTACTACTCCCTCCGGTCCACTTTAATTGATTTTTTAGCATTGTTTTGTGTGATCCACAATATTTGATTTTTTCATATATTAAGAATGAATTAACTTCTTTTTTTCAAGGTTGCCCTTGGAGTAAAGAGCCTAGGAGGATATGTTATATTTCTAACGAACAAATTAAGGTTAATATGATCAATTTCTTCGTTAATTAATGCTAAAAGATAAATTTCTTAATATGTATAAAAACAATCAAAAAATCAATTAAAAGTGGACCAGAGTTCTTGCACTCATTGGTTTTTCCTATTTTGAAGTCACAACAACATACCCAGTATAATCCCACAAGTGAGGTTTGGAGAGGGTAGTGTGTACGCAGACCTTATCCCTACCTGGAGAGGTAGAGAGACTGTTTCCGATAGATTCTCGGCTCAAGATAAGATAAGGTGGAAAAGAAGAAAAGGAAAAGAAGAAGAAGAAGAAGAAGAAGAAGAAGAAGAAGAAGAAGAAATAGGGTGGAGAAAGAAAGACGAGGGAGACAAAAGACGATAAGGAAAAAGAGGAGAAAATGTATCATCAGATAGTAACAATCAATGAGCAACAATTTCCAGTAAAAGAGAATAATACTAGTACTACTGGCAAACCTAGGAGAAACTCACAACTACCTGTCAACCCACCACCTTAATCCTCGACCTCCACACCTTCCTATCGCTAGTCATGTCCTCGGTTAGGTGAAGCACCGACATGTCCTGCCTAATCACATCTCCCCAATACTTCTTTGGCCTACCCATGCTCTTCCTCAAGCCCGCCATGGTCAACCTCTCACACCTCCTGACTGGGGCATGTATGTCTCTTCTTCTCACATGGCCAAATCATTGCAACCTCGATTTCCGCAACTTGGCTTTCAGGGATGCCACTCCCATCTTGTCCCTAATAACTTCATTCTTGATCTTGTCTTTCCTCTACACATTCATCTCAATATTCTCATTTTAGCTACGCTCATCTTCTAGACATGAGACTTCTTGACGGGCCAACACTCAGCTCCATACTATATAGCCGGTCTAACCACTACCCTGTAAAATTTTTCCTTAAGTCTAGGCGGCACATTGTTATCGCATAAAATCCCCGAAGCTAGCCTCCATCTCATCCAACCCGTTCCAATGCGGTGAGTAACATCCTCGTCAATCTCCTATTGCCTTGAATTATAGACCCAAAATACTTAGAAACTATCACTCGTGGAAATGACTTGGGTATCCATCTTTACTTCCACTTTCACTTCCACTGCCACTTCTTCTTCGTGCCTCCAATGGGGTGGGTAACATCTTCCACTTCTTCTTCACGCCTATTTTGAAGTCGTAACTTCATAATATCAATCTGCACTAATTAGAAGCTGCCATGTTATTAAATAGGATTAGAAACTTCCAAATACTCCATTAATTTTAATCAAATTATGTAGGTTGAAGCACAAGTTTCTAGTAAAAATCCATCGTACCATGAGCTATATTAATTGTACGTATCTTTTGTAGGATCGGACAAACGTGGCACGAGGAATTCAAAACCTTTTAAAAGGGTATAAATAAGGAGGTTCGGTGAGAAGCCTAAGACAGAAGTTTGTTTCCTTTCTTTTATTCTAAAGCACAATAGGCAAAGCTGCTCTGTTTTCATATTCTGAAACATTCACTTTCTTTTCATATGCTTCTCTAAATTCAACTGTTTGACCGAAAAGAAAAATGAAATTCGATCTCGAGAATCCATTATCGAGCTCAAATGAACACGAAAACGACACCGTTTCAGCTCTCTTCGCCGCCGAATCCGATCACATGCCTTCCTTTTTTTCATTCAAATCTACTGACATTCCCTTCTTTATTCGCCGCCACGCCTTTTCTCTTATTTCTCAAGTAAATACAGTTCAAAATCTCTTTCTGTGGATTATTCTTTTTCCTATTTATTTATTTATCTGCAACTAAATTTTGTTTGACTTTGTGATGATTTTTTTGAAGGTACAGTTTTCTTACAATTTAGATCAATTTACTACATATCTCGCTGTCAATTACATTGATCGTTTCCTCTCCAAACAACCAGTTCCGGTAAATCAATCTCATATATGATAGTGTAAAAATATTATTCGCATTATCAATTTTAGTATCTAAGTTAAATTAATGAGAAATTGAAGATCTGATGGAAATCCTGTTGACGTACCTCAGGGGAATAAGCCATGGATTGTACGGATTCTCGCAATTGCTAGCCTTTCACTCGCTGCTAAGATGAGGAGCATCAGCTTGTCTCTCTTCGATTTTCAGGTAATTAAACTGTCAATAATTATAAGATAAAGCTGTTTATCTTATGACAATTTTATCTGATTAATTCAGTGAAACAATTTGAACAGAGAGATGAAGGTTTAATTTTTGATTCGCAATCCATTCAAAGAATGGAGGTTTTGATTCTCACAACGCTTAACTGGCGGTTACGATCCATCACGCCTTTCGCGTTTCTGCAATTTTTCGAGTCATTGTTTGAACTCAGTGAGTCGTCTCTGAGTCAAATTCTCAAAGACCGAGCTACAGATATCATCTTCAGTTCTCATTACGGTATATGTGAAATCTCTGTTTCATTCGTGATTAATTACCATTAATTAATAATTAGATGTAACTTAATCATTGTTTAGTGATGTTGATGTTTGCTTTAATTACAGAGGTTAAGCTTTTTGAGTACAAACAATCAATATTGGCTGCATCGGCGCTACTTTGTGCAGCTCATGAGTTGGTTCCGCAGCAATTTTCTTTTTTCTTAGATGCAGTTTCTAAATGGGAACACATAAATAAAGTAAGATTCTCTTTTATCCATCACTTTAGTTTTAACTTTTTAATGTGTTGTTTATGCTTAGGACTTAAATTATGTAAAACGGGAGAAGAAAGTATATAACGTTCTGCAACCTCAAAGAGAAAGCGATAAAAATAGTCCCTTATGTTTGAGGATAGGTTTAATATAGTTTCTTAAGTATGCATTGAACATTTTTTTATATTTGAATCCGAATACAAATCTGAATATTAAGATGTGTTTTAAGATCTGAATACTAAATGATTATAACTGTTTGTTTTTTAAACATCTGAAGATATAAAATTTTCTTTATTTAAAAATTAATAAATATAAATTCAAATAAAATATTAATTAATCTATTATTCTATCAATAATATATATATATGATAATTGGCGGTGGTGATTGCTAAGGGAGGTGCTTGTGAGTGTTGACTAAAGGCGGTGGTTGGTGGTGATTTTGGATGGTGGTGGTTCTAGGTAGTAGCTAGTGGTGATTGATGGCGATAACGATTATGGTTGAGGAAGGTGGTGGTGGATGGTGATAGTTAATAATAGTGGGTGGCGATGGTTGTGGTTGTGATTGAGGAAGGTGATGGTGGGTGGTGATAATTTATAATGGTGGACGGTACCAGCTATGATTATTGCTGATGATGGGGTGGCTAGTGGTGGTAGTTGAGATGGGTGAGTGTGTGGTTATGGTTGAGCATGATGGTGGTGGTGGTGGTGGTGGTGGGTGGTGGTGGTAGTGGTAGTTGATAATGGTAGGCGATGGCGGCAGTTAGTAATGAATGTAGATGATAGTATCTTAATGAAATTAAGTCTTTGTTATAGATCTTAATCATACAGATTTATTTAGACCCATTAAGTAATTATGAAGTAAAAAAAAAAATAAACACGTTTAATGATTAAGATGTGAATGATTAAAATTCAAACTTTAAAAACAAACGCACTTAACGTCTGAGATCTGAATTATTAAGATTCAGACCTCCATTAAATGCAAACAAATAAGGCCTTAATCTTAATAAACATCTTGATATTCAGATGGCTATTCAGATTCGAACATCTTAATCTTAAAAAAAATAAATGAGGCCTTAGTCCTTTTAAGTTTGGCAAAAGTTAACACTTTTGGTCTTCATCAACTATTTAACAAATTATGTTTGCTAGATTTGATGAAAACAGTAGAGAAAAAAATTCAACCAAACACAAGAAAAGTCTCATCAAATCCTAAAAAATATAACACAAAAACTACATTAGTCATAAAAAAGATACAAAAATATCAAAAATTACACCTCAAAAATATGTATCAGACTCTATAAATGAACGAAAAATAGCAGAAGCTACAAAAATTAGTACCTCCAGACGTGAGTACTTGCTAAGTTACTTTTTTTTCACAGTTCCCGTCAAAATTAACAAATAAAGTTTGTTAAATATTTGACAAGTCCAAAACTGTTAACTTTTGACAACTTAAAGAAACAAAACTACCCAGTACATACTTAAGGGACTACTTTAAACCTATCCTCAAACTTAAGAGACTATTTTTGTCATTATTGTTGTAGACACAAGCTAAATGAAACATAATTCTTTTTAAGTTACAGAATCACATTTTCACGCCTATTTTATTTACTACTTATAGTCAAACTCAGTCTGTATATTGTTTTAATATTTTTAGGACGAACTTCTGAATTGTTGGGAGCTAATGCGGGATGTTACAGATGCTGGGAAGTCCACAATCGACGAAATGTCTTCTATCTCGTTGACCCCAAAAACTGTTCTTGACTATGAAGTTACAAGTCCTCAAAACGAGAACAACAGTAAGAGGCGAAGATTGAGTGGTTTTCGGAATGATCAAACGTTCCATATCTCTCAGCTTTAACATTGGTAAAAGATTGTCTACTAAACATAATTTTCAGATTTGTGTTCAGTCAAAGTAGGGAGATGGGAAATGGCGCAAGGGAAAAGTTAATAGTGTTCGAGTGGGAGAGGTTGTGGTCTAACAGAGATGAAGCATTGGTGATAAATGAACCTTGTGCCAGTGCCTAGCTCAACCCGAAAAGCTAGCTCAAAGGGTGAGGATTGTCCAAGTCATATAAAGAGTCCAATGAACCTATCCATCTCCGACGTAGGATTCCATCAGAAGAAGATATGTTGCTTTGGTGTGAATTTTAGTGGGGTTGTTTGATCTTGGTTGAAGAGATGTTTCTTTCATGTAATTAAAGCAACTCTAGTAAATTCATAGTAATATATGCTTTTTGGGAGTAAACAATATATAATGTTCCCTTTGGGACTGAGACGTGGTTATAATTATTGTGAACAGTGTTCGCTTTTGTAATTTTCTTTGCTTCTTCCTCCGTAAGAGTCAATTAGTTACTCACTCATTGAAGCACACCTGACAAAGTATTTCTTATGTTTTAATTACATATATCCTATGAAAAACGTTATGTAACTAAAGTCATATTTGTAAATGTACTACACAAACAAATCTCCCGAATATTTTTTTGCCCTTGTGCAACAAAACATCTTTAAATTGATGGTTTACACTAGGTAAATCAGGTTAGGAAGGGAAAGAAATAGTTGAGAGAGAGAGAAGTAGCAACATCAACAAGAAGAAAGGTGTGACAAAAGGATCTCATATGACCAGTTACAATTTGAATAGAAGAAAATGACCCTATAAAGATCTCTCATGTTTTATTTATCGATCACTCGTGTTTTATTTTGCTGATCTCGCACGAAAGAGCATATGATGAAAAAGAACATTTGTAATGGTTAATATAATCGATCTCCCAGCAAGTGTAGTTATGTGGAAAGCTTGAACTGATTTGTACTTCATTTACCTTTCCTCTAAGTTGATACACTAAAAGGTGGAATACTCTGTTCGTATCTAAAAAAATTGCCAGGATCCACTTTGCTCTTCACCTTTGCTAACCTCTCAAAGTTTTCATTGAAATACTTTGCACCCCAAACTTTAGCCTTTGAATATCTATATACTCCATCATTAGTCCCAAAATCAAGATCCCTATAATTGAGATAAGCAGTTCTAGGACAATGTGACAAAAATGGCTTCATTTTCTCATAAAGTTCCCTTAACCATTTAATCTTCTTGCTAGATATACTTTCACTATTATCACCCCAATTCACCATATACTGAATATTGAACAAATTTCCCTTCCTATGAGGAAATGGAAGTTCAGATTCTGAAATTTCATCCAATTTTCCACCCAATGGATCCAATATTATCATAGGTTTTTCTTCTTCCAAAAACAAGTCTTTTATCATTCCCCATACCTCTTCTTGCATTGGAGTTTTCACAAAATCAGACGTCGCCTTTTGGTAATTCTTGGTTTGTGACACCGTATTATTCACTAAAAATTCAATTGAATTGTTCGTTCTCTTAGATGCAAAATACAACGTTGATCGAATCCAGGGTACTTCAAAGCATTCTTTTTTTATGAAGGGCAATTCATTGCAGTTCACAACTGGATCTTGAAAACAATTTTTTGGGTCTAACCCGAATTCGGGGAACGTTTGATTCAATAAAGGGGTTAACTCACTCGCTCTCCCAAGAAATAGGCCTTGAAAAGAAACTTGGACTATTTTTTCATTTCCAAATCCCATGTTTTGAATCAAAACCCTCATAAACAAATCTTTAGGAAATTTATGTGACACATTTTGCCATCTTTGGAGAAGATTTATAGTGTTACCTTCTAATTTTCTACGAACAGTGAAAACAGTAACCTTAGGTGGAATACGTACCAATTTAATTTTCCAAGCTAAAATAACACCAAAACTTGATCCTCCTCCTCCTCTTATAGCCCAAAACATGTCTTCTCCCATTGATTTTTTGTCAAGAATTCTTCCATTGACATCCATAACACGAGCATCGATAACATTATCCGCTGACAGGCCAAATTTCCTCATTAAAGTTCCAATTCCACCACCACTAATAAGTCCACCACTTCCAACACTAGGATATAATCCTCCTGGAAATGCAAGAATTTTACTTTTCTTGGCAATTTCATAATAAAGTTGCCCCATTGTCACACCTGTTTGAATCCAGGCCGTTTCTTCGTTTTTATCTATCCTGATATCATCAAGATTGATTAAATCGAGAATAACGAATTGGGTATTGGTAACAGAGCGAAAAGAGAGACCTTCGTAGTCATGACCGCCACTTTTGACTCTAATTTGTAAGCCAAATTTCTGGCTACAAAGAATAATGGGTTGGATTTCGGATTCGTTTTTAGGGGCAATAATGAAAATTGGATGTGCAAATGATGAATTTAGCCACCTGGGATTTTTCTGTGCATATTCAAGAAGAGATGAATATGTAGGTGAATTTGGAAAGTGTATATGTTTCTTGATATTTTCTGAAGAATGACTATATATACACTGCAGAAACTCTTGTTGAGCATTAGCTTCTATTAATAACAAGAATGAAACTAACAAACATGAAAAAAGTTGAAGTCTTCCCATTTTTCGGAAGAGCTAAAGTTACTAAGTTAAGTTGCTGTTGGAGAACTCGGTATAGGCAATTTTCTGCTTCCGCCTGAATTTGAAAGAACGAAGAAGTAAGAAAATGAGATGACTCTGTCTTGAACTATATCGTAAATGGATCTGCACTATATAGTGAGATGAATAGCTACAAATTAAGGTTACCATTAAAAGAGAGTTGAATAAAATAACTAGCAAAACGTTACAGTCAGACTTGAAATGAATAACTATAAATTAAGGTCAGTATTAACATAGAATTGATTTAAAAATCTAGCAAAACGTTACAGCTAGATTTTAAAGAATGGAATCTTTAACTAAATAAACTGGCACTTGTAACTAAGTTTATTTGAAATTTGGGAAAATACAATATTAGAATATGAACGTGAACCAATATGGTTTTGTCAGTATTATTGAAAAAGTAAAGATAATTAGACATAATATATTTTTGAGCATGAGGAGAATATTGATTATTGAGCTGTCAAGGTCCATTTTGATTTTGGCTGCAAGCTAAATCCTTTAACTTTTATTAATTGTATGTATTAGCTTTATAGAATTTAGCACCTATTTTTGGTTTGTTGCTGGGTTGGCCATGTTGGATTTTAGCAATTTATATGATTATATCTAGTAGAATATCTAGCTCAAGTGGACAGTAATCCACTCTTTACTTTTCTTCTTCCTCGCGTCTTAGACTTGTATTAAATTATATCTAATCTTAATTACTAGAAAATTTGAGATTGCATTTGAATATTATTAGCAGGGGCGGCCCAAGAAGATTGGTGGCCTAAAGCCAATTTTTAATTTGAGGCCTTTCAGAAGGAAAAAAATATATCATAACATAAATGATTCATTCCGATGTTCCTACACATAGAACAACACAATTTAGCGCAATTGTTGCATAATAACTCACTTAAACCAACAAAATATAGGACGAGTAATATGCTAAAAGTATAGAATTTTGGCCTAACATCAGTTGTTAATAGTTTCTTTTATAAATAATTTAGTCTCTTCTAAGATATTGTTGATCTTAGATAATAGAACCAAATTCATATAGATATCTCACTAATGATGTCACTCGTAAAATTTAAATAAAGAAAAGTTTTATATTCGCGACAAGAGTTTAAGAGGAGTGATTCTCTTTCATTTTTTGCTCAAACGGTTACATCACTACTAAATTAAAAGTTATCTTGAATTTTTATAAAATATTTTATTTTTTATTTTAACATACCCAATATATTTAGACCCAGCCTCTAAAGATTATTGTGAGATGTATTTGATCCAACTGACCTTAATTAAATATATTGGGTTCGAGTCATGTAGTTAAAAAAAATCCTGTTAAAACATGTTCTCTCTTTTACTAGATCTTACGCGGTACGAATCTAGATTAGTCGGGGTCTCAATACAAATACGAGTAGAAAAACAAAAAAAAAATTGGGACCCTCAAAATCTGGGGGCCTAAAGCCTTTGCTTTAGTGGCTTGACCCTTGGGCCGCCCCTGATTATTAGTAACCTATGATATTAAAAACACCAAACTGTGAGTTACGTTTGAACAATTTATGTTTGAGAAGAGAATTTACTGTCAGGTGTTCTTTAATTCGCATTATATCTCTAAAAATAAATTTGACTATTAAAAACAACAATGAAACTTTTATACAAGCGAATGCTTCCCGAGATAATTAATTTCGCGATTAATTATACTGCAATTTTATCCCAATTAAATATGGGATAAACTCTTATTAAATTTAATTTCGACATTAATTATTCTTTATCTCTCCTACCAAACAAGCCCTAAGGTTATTATTTCCAACATAGCATAACATTAGAAATATGGGCGGATGCACGTGGAACGAAGCGGTGGCACGTGACACCACTTTGTCGGAAAATTTTACGAGATATATGTGGTAATATTGTATGAAAATAATAAGATAAAAAAGAAGACTCCATTTGACATATATGGTTGCTTAGTAAATTGGATAAGTTTCTAATTTTGCTCTAAGAGGTAAGACAGAGGCGGATCAAGAAATTAAAGGCGATGGGTGTCACATTTTCTTTAATGTACCCTTTAATTTTGACTATGGAGTTTTTTAGAAACATATATTTTGTTCAGTTCGGTCTATTTCGAATTTATTAAGTCAACTTAATAGGTTTTTGATATGCAAATATGAAAATTACTTCTGAAACAAATAGAATCAACATTTTCAACAAACAATCACATCTCTATTATTAACAACACAAGTTAAAACAATATTTTCACTAGGGGAATCCTTTTCTATATATCAAAAATAAATATTCACAACTAAAATTAATATTAATGTTTTTTATTTAGAGAATCACGCCCTCTCTATTAAAGTTGCACAAGTAAAATAACATCTTCGATAAGGAAATTACACCAATTTAAAATAAGAATAATAGAAAAAGCATCTCTAATAGCTATTATACGCTACATAAGTAAATGTAGAACTAGATAAACTACAAGTTCCAAAAATTGAATCCATAAATTTCATGTTTTTTTTTATGCAATGCGTACCAAATTTTCATTATAATATAGAAGTAAAAAAATTTATGATATAATTAAACAAAAGAAATTTATAAAAAATACATTTGATCTCAATCCAAAATTCTTATCGGGACCCAAGTTTTTAAGTTTTGGAAGAAGAAAACTCACATATATGAGATTAAGAACAATAATTATATTTACAAATCTCATGTTTACACCAAATCATGTCAATATATCATGGTTAAGTGATAAATTAATGTGAGAATGTATATTAATTAACTATAGTTTAGTGTTAACCATATTTGTGAATACATGTCATGTATTTATTGGTGTGCGAGTAAGTATTTACCTCGGAATATGAGCCTTACACGCAAGAAAAACTTGCAAAA